CTCCATATGCTTCTAAGTATTAAAACGGGAAACTTAAAGCAAACAGTTGTCAACATTTTCCCGATTACAAATTCTCTTCACAGTTTTGGGTTCTTTTCCTTCCAGATGAAATTTGGAGGCTTTTGGTCTACGATGCAGGCCATAACCAAGCAATACTTGATTTCCCCCATTATATTAACCAAAGTCCTGTATAACTGGAGATTCTGAGCAGTAAGAAATAAACAGAGATACTGCCCCAAGATGATACCATCAGTCAAAAGGGTGAAAACTCAACATTTCTGTTAGCCGTGAGCACAAATCTGAGTAGATGCTGGGTTTCCATCGTGTTCTGTTAGGCAATTTCTCTTTGTTTGAATGAGGATCACTGTGCACCTCTGAGCACTGGGAATCCTGCTAGGCAGTCTGTGTCCTTTCCCTGTACAGCTCCCAATGCGCCACGGGCACTTCACTCACTTCGGTGACGAGAAAACCAGGTCTCAGAGAGGCTAAACGACATGCTGAATGTCAACCACCTGGAGTGAGCCTGACTCCAGGCCTGTCGGACATAAGACCGGGGGCCCTATCTGTTCTGTTGGTGGCACTCCTCCTGGTGGCCTTTAAGAGTCATGGAGACACCGACTTTGTCACAGGCCAGGCATGGGGACTTATAAACTCCATCGGTCGTTCTAAGGTGCAGCGTGGGTTGAGGCCCACAAGTTACAGATATAGCTTCTCAGCCGCAGCCTTGCTGCCTCAGACCACAAGCCGGGGGAGCCATCAGAGCACAACACACGTGTGGACCCGCAGCACCTGGAAAGTGTTTTTGCCATTTCATCCATCAGTTACCTAAGGAAACAAAAAGTGTCTACTAAGATTTATGTGCAAGGATGTTCAGGCACTACATCACAACATACAGCAGCCCTAAATTAACCCAAATGGCCAATAAGAAATTCATAAAATAAAGGATGTCATATGATAGGCCAATATGCATCTATAAAAAAGGTAGGTTCTTCAAAGAAATGGAAAATGATAAGGACGTGGTGTTAAAACATAATATGCATAGCGTGATCCTGCTAACATTGTTAGATAATATATGCACATGGCTCCAAAATAGAAACACAAATTTTCATGTAAATATAAATGTACGTATACAAATATATGTGCACGTGTATATGTTCTCATTTTCCCTCTTATGCTAAGACTGTACACCACACACGTCACGCACTTCTCTTTTCATGTGAAAATGCTAGAGCTCTTTTCATGACAGCGTGCCAGGACATTTGGATGGCAACAAGGTAGTTCACTGGTGACCAGACAAGATTTAATCCGTTCCGTGCAAGAGACCCTTGTTTATTTCCAATATTCTGCTATTAAGAAGAACGCTGACATCAGAGCTTTGTATGACTTGAACGCGTGGCATTGGCAATTCCGACAGGCGAGGCAGCTCGCCCTCTGCAGTGGCCCCAGTCGTGTCTTCTCCCCCACGGGTGGGAACGCTGAGTGTGCGCCACGCTGGGATCTGGCTGATGTGACAGGTGAGAAGCAGGGCCTCACCGAGGTTTTCTGAAGACAGGCATGCTCCCACATGTTTAAGGCCTGTCTATATTTCTTCTTCTGTGCAATATTTGCTCACGCCTTTGACTGTTTTTCTGAGTAATGATACTAAAACATGGCACTCA